TTATGCATATTCAACGTTGTTGGCTATGTCATAATCACATTAATTTCAATCGAGTTACTTAACTCACATTCTCTTTAAGTGTATTTATTGCATATATTTTAGTAAAAGACTTAGAACATAGTTGTTGTTCTTATTGTATATTATAATATGATCATAGTTGTCTTTTCTCTTTTTTCCAAAAACAGATAAGTGCGTGGAGCCTAAAGAGTGTGTGTAATCATAGGGAAAAAATTAGTAAACAGAATTATGTTTTGATCTTATTCCCCTCATATTTTGTATTTGTCTCTTACAAGTTACATCACAGCTTATTTTGGTGACCCTCAATTTAAAGAGTGCATGCTCTCCTACAAGAATTTTAAATTGCAATTGTTGTCATGGTTACGTTATAATTGCTGTAATGGCATGGATTGAAGTGGTTAAAGCGACTGTCACGTCCAAAATACTCTATGGCATGGATGCCTTCACGTGTTACTTAGAAGACTGGTTCAAAGGAAAGATTCTTTCATCTCTTTGTCTCTTATTAGTTAGAGTTTGGTATAATCAAACTTCTTGAGTTAATGGTTATAAAATTTGTTTTAAGATGTATAAGGTTAACTTTGTACTCTTAAAATCATTTTTTGTTAATATAAAAATAATATTTGATCAATAAAAAATATATCTCACAAATATAAAATAGTTTTTAATTATTAACTTTAGAACATCTAGTGCGATACATCATATCTATAAATAAATAAAAAATTAAAAATAGTTACTAGAGCATATATGGTTTCAACTTGTCCATTGCAATCTATTATGGCTGCTTCATGTCACATACTATCTTCACGCTTGCATCTCATTTTCATGCTTCGATTTTGTCCTCCACGCATCAAACAGTGTCCATGCCAACTAATACTATCTCCAAATATTGTGCCTGATATGTGCTCCACGTGTCGAAAACGTGTTGTTACTGGAAACTTCTCTCGAGGACATTTTGAAAAAGGAATAGAATTCACAGAAGGTGCTCTCAAGAATACGAGCAAAGTTGAATTATAAGAACAAAACGACAATGTTAACGTCATTTTCTACAGGTTGTGTGTTTTTGTCCACCTTTAACTGTAGCATTCAGTGTGATTCAACATAATATTACGCTATTTACCGCTTCGGTCGGTCCAAATTATATGGTATATATGGGTTTATATTCTATAATTCTTCTTCGGAGTACTCATGACCAATATTAAATTTTATCCCATCTTAATATGATGGCTGAAGAGCATCACATCTTCCTTAATTAAGTAACTGTGGCACTATATATAATTATAGCCTAAACATTGGTGTATTAGATTAGATATTCTTTTCTACTGATCTCAATTAAAATTAGTTTTGATGGGGTTATTTTATGGTATTTGTCTGAGAGGATATTTTATGAAATATTTTTATAAGGTTATTACACAAATATACTCCACAATGATGAGATATTGTCCGTTTTGGGCCTTAGCCCTCACGGTTTTGCTTTTGGTCATCACCTAAAAGGCCTCTCAACCTGCGGCTCTGATACCACTGATGGGGTTATTTTATGGTACTTGTCTGAGAGGATATTTTATGAGTTATTTGATATTGTCCGCTTTGGGCCTTAGCTCTCACGGTTTTGCTTTTGGTCATCTCCCAAAAGGCCTCTCAATCATTGAAGTATGTTTGTATTATATAAGTTGTTATTTGTTGTATTATTTTATCGATGTGAGAGTTGTTTGAATCCCAACAAGTTTAGCTAGAAACCTACACAATCAAGATTGTATTGTTATCAAGATAGAATTCTAATTTTGTCTAATATCGAACAATATTTAAAAAAAAAACACGTAAAATTAATAATTCCGTCCATATATAATTAAACAATTATATTACATGTAAACAAATATTCAGACAAATTTAAATTGATCAAATTCATGTTTTTTGTATCGAATAATACGAAGAAAAGTCCCGCTGATAAAGCTAGCATATATATGAATAATGTGTAGTAATTCTACGTACCAACAAAAACTGCCGCAGAAATCATTACTAGACAGAAACTTAAATGGATCCCACAGTTGTGAAAGAATATTCATATGAGTAGGATTTGAGTCACAAATGCTTTTACAACATTTATAAGGATTAAAGTTTGAATTGATTAAACAAAATCTTAATTTTAATTAATTAGTACATATAAATAGAAGTAAATATTAAATATACCTTAGTAAATATTTGTAATTATAAAATATTAAGTTTTAAAGATTTTTTTTGTGACATGTTTTAAAGAATTTTAATATTGCGATATAATAAATATCTTTTAACAATTGAAAAAAATCAATTTCATTCATTAGCATATACCCATATAGGTACATATAATTAAATTCTCTCCATCCAATTACTGTAAAATTTGTTTTAAGATATGGAGAGTCGTTTTGTCCTCCTAAAATAAATTCGTGATGATATTAAAATAATATTTAATAAAAAAATTATTTCATACAAATATAAATTATTTTTTAATTATATTAAATATTTCATCAGCTGCATGAAAAAAAAAATTTTAAATACATATTGCGATGAGGAGAGAAGTACAAGGACTTGGAATAAACAAAGTAGAAGTGACTTAGAAATGATCAAATTAATAAACTCTTTGACTCCAAAATCAATAGTGCATTTGATATTTTGTTGACTGATCAGAGAAAACGCCAGAAAGTGAGAATGGTAGAACGAACAGTACGTATCTGTATGCGTGCAAATGTAAGAAACACTAAACACGCCCAACCAAGCAAATGCTGGACCTAGGTGAGTATAGAATAAGATCTATGCGTTTATTGAGGCAAGAGAAAAAGCAAAATGTTAAAAATAACAGAATGTTCTCTCTCTCCTCTCTTTTGTGTAAATGTTATGTGTACGTGATGGTGCAACATCTCTATCTCTTGGGGAGACAACCAGCAATTGTCTAATCAATGACTCCATCTTGGCTTTCCCTCAAGCTTTTAACTTGAGTACGTTTATTGGCTTGCAGGGGGTAATTTCATGAGTATGTGTTCCACACACACCTTTGCTTCCATTTTTAGTTCTTTTACCTTAAAAATTTACCTCTTCGTGACTTCATGTATTCTCTCACCCTCTCATAATCAAAATGTACACTTTTACTTGATCAACCCTGACAGATACAGATATGATCGGGTTGTTTAGTATATTGATAAAGATATAGTTAAAAATTTATTGAAGAACTGAAACTATTTTACAATATCTTATTTAAAATAATTAGTTTCTTTCTGACTGTTGGATAAGAAGTAATAATTACCAAAGTTCTCTTCTAATCCTCTTATTATGCCAAGAGGAAGGAGAGCTTTTGCCCTCAAGTGGTCTTATTTGGCTCAAATTGTTGTAGGTGGAAGTTGGCTTTTTGACCCAAGTAATTAAAAAAAAAATAAAAATACACAAAATAAATTTAAAAAAAAACAATTTATCAAAATAGGTAGTTTTGGACATGTCAGTGCTGACTGGACATGGATGGCGCCTGGGGGTTGGGCGTTTTATAGAAAACGCCTCCCCCCCAGGCGCCATCCATGCTGAGGTGGCATTGTGCAAAGAAAACGCCCAGGGGGGAGGCGCCATGCACACGTGGCACGTTTGTGTTGAAAATGCCTCCCCCCCAGGCGCCATTCATGCTGAGTTGTGCAAACAAAACGCCCAGGGGGGAGGCGTCATGCACACGTGGCACGTTTGTTGAAAACGCCCCACCCCCGGGCCACTGGAACGGCCCATTCTAATTCTAGAACGGGCCGTTCTGAATTTCAGAACGGCCCGTTTTGACTTCAGAACGACCCGTTGTGATTTCAGAACAGACCGTTCTGAATTCACAACGGCCCGTTCTGAGGGAACTAATTATAGGTAAAATTTTCATTCAGAACGCCCTGTTCTAAAAAGAGAACGGGCCGTTCCAAACCAAATCTTACCAACCATTCGTTACAAACAGGAACGGCCCGTTCTGAATACGTGCTTTCTCAGAACGGCCCGTTCCACGTGTTTCATTCTCGTTTTCAACTTCAAACTAAAAAAAAAATTATCTTTTAATTTTTATATCACTCTACTATACAAACCTAACAATGATACATACATAGAACATATAAAATTTAAATTTTAAATTTACAAATATTTAAAAACTCTTACTTACTTGAAGCACCTGGACCACCAAATAAAAAATACGTTGGACCACACACCGAACAAATGAATCTTGTGCAACCCAATACATTTAACTAATTTGTTAGCGCCTGACCCTCAGGCGTTTTTGTAAATTTGTACTGAGGTGCGCACCCAGACATGGCAAAACGCCTGGGGGGAGGCACTTTCAGTGTGTGCACATCAGGTTCACATGGCGCCTGGGGGGAAGGCGCCATCAACAATCTTCTGCCACGTGTACAACACGCCTCCTCCCCCAGCGTTTTCTTTTTACAGTCAGCTTACATGGCGCCTGGGGGGGAGGCGCCATCAACAATCTTCTGCCACGTGTACAACACGCCTCCCCCCCCCAGCGTTTTCTCTTCACCGTGCCACATCTGTATATATGGCGCCTGGGGTGGAGGCGTTTTCTAAAAAACGCCTACCCCCAGGCGTTTTCAGTGCCACGTGTATGCTTACCTGTCCAAAATCACCTATTTCGGTAATTAGTTTTTTTTTTAATTTATTTCATGTATTTTTATTTTTTTTTAATTTACTGAGGTCAAAAAGCCGTGGAAGTTACATGTTGTATGAATCAAAAAACTAAAAAATAAAATAAAAAGTAAAAGTAACTATCCGAATCTTTAAATTTCTCTGTATATTATTTCTCCTAAAGGTATCCTTAATGCAGATCATAATTATAACATAATGTTGACTAAAAAACCTAATGAAGTAATAATTAAAAGGGAAAATGTTACTTTTTAACTAAGAGACCAATGAGGCGACCAGGACAAAAACTAGAACAATGTAATTTTAATTCCTCACCCTTTCTCTCTCTTCACATGCTTGCAATATATTTATATACCACTCTAACTACTGGCCAAAGATCCAAAACCATCTCAGCCTTCACTATGACAGATCCTCAGTCCAATTTATACGCTGGAACCTTCAACTTCATGCCCCTCTATTCTCACCACTCTTCTTTCACTTCTCAATCAAACCTATTCTCTTCCTACCCTCTTGGAAACTTAAACAACACCGACACTTTTTCCATTCAATCCGAAACCTCTTCCTCTTGTGCAGCTCCTCCTAACTCCCCTCCTCGCAGAGAAGCCCTTCCTCTCATAAACAACATAAGCCTCACACAAAAGAAGGAAAATAATGAACCCTCAAACAGTGGTGGAGAAGTTGAAGAGGAAGGACAGAAGAAAAGGGACAAAGATGAGAGTCTTTTGACTAGTACTAATAAAGATGTTGATGATGAAACTGTGACAGTAGCACTGCGCATAGGGCCTCCTAGCATGGATCATGCTTCTGATCTTATGGGATCAAGGAAGATCTCAACTTGTGCTGAAATGGGTGAAAAGGGTGAAGTGAGTGAGATTTCTGGACACCCTTTGGATAGATTAAACAAGGTTCAGTATTGGATTCCCACCCCTTCCCAGATTCTCATTGGTCCTACTCAGTTTTTATGTTCTGTGTGCTCTAAGAGTTTCAACAGATATAATAATCTTCAGGTATGCAATATGTTATTGTAATTCCTTGTAGTCTTCGTATATTAAAAATTAAAAAAATAATAAAAAAATCCTAGCCACTTAATTCACGTACAGTATTTTTATTTCTTTGGTGTTCTCTTTTATGCAAAGTCCCTATGTTTCGAATTTTTTTCACAATACTGGTATAGGTGAATCCTATTGTGTTTCACCATTTTGGTTTCTTATCTATCCCTCCTGCATGGTGTTCTAGATCTTTTCTTATTATATAATATAACATGATTTGCTGCTTTCAGTATTAGACACACAAGCTAAACTAAATTTGTTTTTCTTAAAAAGTAAAGTATTATTGAAATGTTCCTTGGGATTTTATGTCGCCAAAAGTTTAAAATATTATGCTGCGCTGGATTGAAAATGACTAAATGAGTGAAAAGTAAAACCAATTATGAAACTATTAATAGCTATGTGTGCTTATTTCTTGATTTAGTTTAGATGTTCTTTATGTATGAACACTGCACTCACTCCATAGTTGTATAAAACAGAAAAAATGTTCAAAGCCGTGTCTGTGATAAGAATCATGTATGGAATCACAATGGACATCTCGTGATTAAAGAGCAGTCCCACTATGATGCAACTTAATTGAGAAAACCATGTTATTAATCTGTGCTAGACTGCTATTAACTATTTTATGCAAATCGTAAGCACTTCTAGTTGCGGCGCTATTAGTCATGTATGATGTAATTTAAGCCCTGTGGAATAAAATTGAAATATTATTATTTTGACCTTTATAATATTTGCCTTGATTTTGCTAGTTGATATACTAGTGTTTTATAAGTTTATTTACATAACTCAACAAAACTAGCTAAAATATACCCCTTCATGCATCATAGTTACTTTTTCTTCAAAACTTTTCCTTTTATGTTGGGAATGGGGGAGTATGTTTTAAATTTGTAGTCATTTTATTACCTGTTTACTGCAAATTAATTAGTTAACCATCATATACAAGAAATGTTATATATAAGAATAAAAAAATATTACTATAGATACAATATATATAAATATAAATTTATTTGACATATAATTATACATAATTTAAATGTTAATCTTGAATGAAATTCAACAACATAAATTATATGTCATTATAGTCTATATTTATACTTTTTAATAATATATCAACATATATTATATTTATAATGTAGATAAAAATAATTTTTAATGACAAATATTATATTATTATAACATGTGTTATTATATATGACAATTTTTTAATTTGTACTGAACTGAACATGTGAAGTCCTTTGGTTGTCTCCCTATATTATATACATATGTAGAGTGTATATATACATGTTTCTCATTGGTTTGCAGATGCATATGTGGGGACATGGATCTCAATATAGGAAGGGGCCTGATTCTCTAAAAGGAACACAACCATCAGCTATGCTAAGGCTTCCATGCTTTTGTTGTGCACCAGGTTGCAAGCACAACATTGACCACCCAAGAGCGAGGCCTCTCAAGGACTTCAGAACTCTTCAAACACATTACAAGAGAAAACATGGTGTGAAACCCTACAGGTGCAGAAAGTGTGACAAAGCGTTTGCAGTGAAAGGTGATTGGCGGACACATGAGAAAAACTGTGGCAAAATATGGTACTGTTTATGTGGATCTGATTTTAAACACAAAAGATCTCTAAAAGATCACATAAAGGCCTTTGGCCATGGCCACGGAGCTATTGACATTGATTGCATGCAAGAAGATGAAGCGGCCTCCGAAATTGATGAACATGATAGGGATAGCTCAATGTGAAATTAATAAGATGGAAAACAAAAAGTTGAAGTTTTCATCATGTAGTTAATTACACAAACATATATATGCTTAATTATAATAGATTTATAATGTGTATTATATATACATTCTTTAATGTCGTTTTGTTTTTTTGACGGGTGAAATATTTTAAGAAATGAGATTTAAAATGTAAAAAAGTAAAAGTATTCACTATCTAGAAAACTTAAAATATATTTAATATTTTCTAAAGTAAAAGTTATTTATTTTATATTACTATTGGCAGTATTAAACGCTTCGTAAAAATAACCAAGAATACCTAGAAGGGCCATATGGTTTGATTGTTATATATCATCACTTCTTATTCAAAAATGGAGGCCTTTCTTCCAGCAGACACGAGCAGCTTAGAATGTGAAAAAGACAGCTATTTTATACATGTATCCTCAACAATCGATTAGAATCCATTGTGCAGCAAATGAAGTTGTACGTCCCTCCCAATATTTAAGGCAATAAAATACCTAAGAATCAAAGATATTTAGTAGTATGCGTTATAGTTTTATTTCACATGTATGAAAAACTATATCGTAAGCCAGAAGTTGACATTTTTTTAGAGGTACAATATTAACAAGAATACTATATGTACAAGTTGTAACACTAGGTTTTTTTAAATACATACATATATATATATATAGTATTTAATTAATATCTTATTTCAATAAAACAGTAGTAATTACATAAATAGTTTAGGACAACAAAAAATAGTTTAGGAGTTGTTTGGTTTTTAAAATAAATAGGTTTTGTAATTAAATATCTTTTAAAATAAGGAAGGTTTTGATGACTCAATTAGTTTTTGGAAGTTTTACGCGATTTTGTTCCCATGAACCCAAGAAGCACTTTTAAGAAGCCTCCTAGGTGTAATTCCATTCTTTCATATATGTCTCTTTCGAAACCTTACCCAAAAAATTGTGACCGAAAGAGTAGAGAACATAGAAGGAGAATGTTGTTCCTGTAGAAAAATATTATGTAACTCAAGAATTTATGGTTAGATTAATTCACTACAAAAAAAATTTCATATACTTTACAGTGACACAATATACGTGTCACTAAAAATTACTATTACACATACAATAAATATAATATATGTTGATATATTATTAAAAAATGTGGGTATAGGCTATAGGGACACACAAAATATGTTATTAAATCTCATTCAAAATCAATACTAAAATTGTATGTAACTATTTGTCAAATAAATATATACTTATATATATTGTACCTATAGTGACACTTTTTGTATGTCACTATATGTAACATTTTTTGTAGTGATTATTGTATTAATCTAATTAATTGCTTGATAATAAGGAATTCTTATAGGATAATAATCATCTATTAAAAGTCATAATAAATATAAAGTTGTTATATAAAATAATAAATAGCTACTAAGAATTAAGAGTCATAATAAATATATTTTACTCGTTCTTGATGGAAAAATGAAAGGTTATTATAATAACTAGTAGAAAAAAGGAACTTCGTACCTGCATTGTATTAAAAAAAAAGAATGAGAAGTTACTCATAAAAAAATAATTATTGAAAAATAAATAAAAGATAAAATGGTGCATATAAAATAAAATTAAAATTAAAATTAAATAATAAAAGTATATTAATCTAATTGGTATTATGATTAATCTATTAGTTTTAAGTTCTTAAATTTGATAAAAACAAATGTTTTTTCTAACTATTTTAAAATAGAAGGTATAATGGTCCAAAAATTGTAGAGACCAAGGTAGTTACTAAAAAAGGTATCTCCTTTATATATTAGTATAGATAAAGCAAAAGGTCCTTAGTCTAAAAGGTTTGTGTTGTTCCATTGTCTAATAGGCTTAAGAAAATTAAGATAAATTTTTTTTCTCTATTTCTCTAAATATTTAAATAATTATTTTATATTTAGTAGTTTGATAACAATAACTACTAAAAATATGTTTCTACTATTATAAGTTATAGATTAAAATTTTTTTTTTTTTTTACATATAAGAGCTTAGGCTATGAAATTTTATAATTCTCTTTATGTTTTTTCTCCCAATTTTATAGAACCTAAATATAGAGCTGTCAAAGTGGGCTGGGGCCCGTGGGCCAACCCGGCCCACCTTGAAAACAGGTCGGGCCGGGCCAAAAAAGATTGAAGTTTTATAGTAGGTGGGTATATCTCAACCCGGCTCACCCGGGCTGAGCTCGTGGTGGGCTGGGTAGCCCACCAACCCACCATTTTTTTTTGCAATAAAAATTTAAGTATGATTTGTAGTCAATTTTTATGATGGGATATTAAAAACTTTTATTTTTGACTTCTATCATGATTTGTATTTAATTTTGTATAATGAGTTATGACTTATGACTATTAATGATGTTAATTTTATGACTATTATGTTAATTTATAATTAATTTAAAATTTTGAATTTTGTTGATAATTTTTTTTTAATTTTTGGTAGGCTAGAGGGCTGGCCCGTATAACTCACCAACCCGTGGTGTGCCGGGCCGGGCCAAATTTTTTTTGAGAAAATCAAAAGTGGGTCGGGTTGAGTTGACTCATTTTAAAGTGGGTCAAGATGGGCTGGCTCACATGGGCCGGGCCGGCCCGTTTTGACAGCTCTACCTAAATATATACTCTTGAGAGTTTCAATTTTTTCGCTTTTCAATGCACTGATTTAGTATTAACAAATTCGATTTCAATTATTGGATAGTATATAATGACATCGTGATATTTTTCTTATCATCATATAAATAAAAAATAAATAAATAAATTAGTTTTCACATATGCAAGAAAGTATTCTCGCATACTTGTTGGTTTAATTGCTAGTCATATCCTAAGAAAATTGTCATATAGTGACATATATTCTGTAGTGGCACAATATATGTTATTAAAAACTGTTTTTATCTGCACAATAAATATAATATATGTTGGTATATTGTTAAAAAGTGTGGGTATAGCACTACTAGAAAAGTGTCATTTTCTTACGAATTTTCCTACAAAAACATATTCGCAGAAATTTTATGTGAATTTTCCTGCAAAAAAATATTCGCAGAATTTTTTTGCGAATTTATTTGCAAAAAATAATTTACAAATATTTTTTACAAATTTTGCTACAATTTTAATGATTATAGAAATTTTTTTCCATGGTAAAAATTTGCAGAAAATATTGTAAGAATTTTATTTTATTTCTTGCAGATTTTCTTGCAAAAATAAATTCACAAATAATGTTTACTAAATGGTAGAAAAATTTTGCAGGTAACTTTTCCTGCGGATTTTCCTGCAAATTTTAATCCGTAGGAAAAAAAATATTTAAATTTATAAGTTTAATATTTAAAAAAACTTCAAGTCCCACATCGATTGAAAATAAAACAATTAAAGAATATATAAGCTGGGACCAGTGTTTTAAAACTCGGTTCGAACCGGCCGGTCGAACCGGTCAAACCGGAAACCGGTGGTTGGACCGAGCCGAACTAGTGATCAGACCGGATGTGCAGCTGACTCGATATGACTCGGTATGACCCGGCTAAAAACCCGGTTGAACCAGCGACTCGCGGGTCTCATGACCCAAACCGGGTCATCACTTTTTTTGGAAAAAAAAAATTTAAATGGCGTCGTTTTTTTAATTTAAAAAATAAAATCTTCAATTTTTAATGTCTCTGCCCCCATTTGCTGCACGCTTAAGCTTTGAAACCCTAAGTCTTTTTTTTTAGTTTGATTTTAAGACACAAACCCAACCCTCATGCACCATCGCGCGTCGCTGGTCGCTCCGTCGGATCGCTGCACAGTTGCACCGCCGCACTCTGCATAGCCGCACAGTTGCACAGTCGCACCACTGCACCACCGCATAGTCGCTGGTTTCTTCAGACAGCTGGGAAAAAAGACAGATCTGTTGGCTGTAGTTTTAGCTTGTATATGTGCATCTTTCACCGGAGCAGGTAGGGGTGGAGATGCATCTGATCTTTCAGCGGTCCCCGGTCGTCAGTATCATGTCCCCGCGTCTCAGCATCTAGAAGAATAGCTAGGCTTTTATGAACCCGGTTCACAAGGTAAATGTTTTCATTTCCGAAGAAGGAGAATCCAGAAGATTGTTATTACAAAATTCGAATAGATTTATTACTTGATAAGTTATATAGCTAGTAGCACATTTTGGTCTGTGACATACGTAATTGTTTGACTAATTAAAGAATAAAGATAGTGTATTGCTCCTTTGATATTTATTATTAAATAAATTTTATTACTGGCAATAAGGAGGATTGGCTACTCATATTTAGAACTTGTTTTATTTGCTTAAAACTCATGAATGACATTATAAAATTATGTTAAAATGTGTTTGTAATTTTTTTGGAGTTTCTTTTAAGGTATGATGTGATTTTTTTTAAAAATTTATAGGTATGAAATATGTATAACAAATATTTTTTTAATTTTTTTTAATAGAAACTGGGTCATGCGGTTTAATAAGTGACCCACCGGTCTAACCATTGACCCATTGACCCAGTACTCTCACCGGTTCAATGACCGGTTCGGTTTTTAAAACACTGGCTGGGACAACATTTACCTTACAAGTTGATTTGTATGGTTGAGTGTTAGGCTTATAATCTACAATCTTAGAATTTAAAAGATTATGTATCACGTGTTGGAGGCATGAAAACAAATGTTTCGGATGAATTCATTGTGAGCATTTGAAAGTTGAAGAATTATTGATAGAATTTATAGTAATTTCTTTAATTTTTTTCGTAAAAAATATTCTTGCGAAATTTCTTGCGAAAAAATTCGCAGGAAACTTTCCTGCGAATTTTTTTCGTAAGAAATTTCGCAGGAAAATTTCTATATTAACCACAAAGGTATTACCTGCAGATAAAATTTTGCAGAAAAATTTGTAGGAACAACGTTTCCTGCAAATTTTTCATAAAAATTCGCAGGAAAAGTTGCATATAATAAGAGAAATTATAGTAGTGTAGGTTATAGTGACACACAAAATATATTGTTAAATCTCATTAAAAATCAACACTAAAATTATATGTAACTATATATCAAAGATGTATATGTACCTATAATGACATTTTTTATATGTCGTTATACT